TCTAGTGTGACCAATTCTGAGGCGAGTGTCAAAAGAACTTCTCCTTACGATTTTGTTGATTCCAATGCTCAATTCTAGGTTTTACATGTCTTAACTTGTTTTGAAGCTGAACATCCCAAATTTGCTGCCATTTTTCACGGACTTTTCCCTTGATGACACAGCAAATATCTCTAACCATAATTGAAAGAGAAAAAATTCGGGTCCGACGGCCCCGCCCACCACGGAGCCCAACAAGGGAACACAGATTCCTGTGCTAGAGCTAGCCGGACCTATTCGCAAACTGAAGCCCCACAGTCGGCTTTCCCGAAAGCAGGTACTCCCGAGAGCTTGACCCCAAGCCACTGACACAAGGACTAGTGACCAGCCGATTGACACCCGTGAGGACGACTAAGGTGCCTCCCGTTTAGCTGAAGCAGAGGCCAAAGCAGTGTGTTGGGGACAGTACCTCGCCCCTCAACTACCAGGACCCTCCTTTCCAGCGACACGGGTCTCCACGCACGGCAAACACGTGGGCAGTTTTCTCGCCATTTGAAAATTATACCCAAGGGTTGTTCCAGTTTCTCGTGAAGAGCCCCAAACTCCGTAGAGAGAAACCACAAGGAAGAAGGGAAGGAAAAAAGTTTCAGCCAAGATGAGAGGAGATGGAAAAGAGGATAGATCACTGGGGCTCCAGGATCGTGACACCCGTCTCATCAAGATGATCCCCTGAAGGGCTAGGTACCTCGGGATTGCCACACCCGTACTCACAAAAGTGAGCCCCCTGAGGGGGAGCTATTGCTGGAACTTCTATTTTTATTTGATACTTTTTGTGTGGTACTTTTGGGTTTGCTTTTAATTACTATTTCTTTATTTTGTACTGTATGAGTTGGGTTTTCTTTCTTCCTATTGTTTGTGGTCTGCTGAGTTTTGTTTGGTGGAGTCTGCCTACCTAATTGAGGTTTGGGTGGCAACTGTACGAGATCTTTTTAGAGCAATTGACATAAGAAGTATTTGGTCTTAGCTGTGTGCTTTGGACTAATCCTCTGGCTTCGGCATATGAGATGTTCCTCGTAACCTTTGTAGTCTGCACTTCTTTTTTCAATTTCCATTTTGGGCACAGGCGTGAAAGTGCTGGGTGCTCACCTTTGCAATTTATACAATGAGGCGCAGCGGTACAATTTTCAGAATCGTGGCCAATCTGTGAGCATCGGGCGCATGTGAGGCTGCCGCGACAAGACGTCTTAGAATGGCCGAAACGCTGGCATTGGAAGCATCGCATAGGGTTTGGAATATAAGGTCTTACAGGAAGATTTAGATATCCGGCCTTAATATTCTTAGGCAGATCAGGCGTGTTGAAGGTCAGGATCACGTGTTTCGTGTCAATCAACTGGCCTTCCTTTCGCATCTTGATCCGCCTAGCACCACAGACATTTTGGTCAGCTAACTCCGAGACGAACTCTTCTTCTGAGACACACAGAAGGTCGATCTCCGAGATTACACCTCTACAGTAATTAAGTGTTTTGTGCGCTGACACAGTTATAGATATTTCTCCAAGTTTGGTTTGTCGGGATAGAGAAGCAGACTGGGTGGCCGATATGGTATCAATAAGCAGGTCTCCTGATTGGAGTCGCTTTATGTTCCTTGGCTCACCTATACATGAATGTATATACTTGCTTACGAGAAAAGGAGACATCTTTTGCAGTTCACCAGGACTAGAGACGACGAGGAAGCGAGGATTTTCAGTGTTTTCGTTGGCATTTGCATTGGTACGGATCTTCTTGTTGATGGATTTGTCAATCTCAGTATCTTTGGCATTTGCTTCAGTACGGATCGTCTTGTTAATAGATTTGTCAACAATTTCAATTTCTTGGTTCGTTTCATTCGACTCGTGTTTTTTAAGTATAAATAAAGAAGCCATGATTGAAAGAGAAAAAATTCGGGTCCGACGGCCCCGCCAACCACGGAGCCCAACAAGGGAACACAGATTCCTGTGTTAGGGCTAGCCGGACCTATGCGCAAACTGAAACCCCACAGTCGGCTTTCCCGAAAGCAGGTACTCCCGAGAGCTTGACCTCAAGCCACTGACACAAGGACTAGTGACCAGCCGATTGACACCCGTGAGGACGACTAAGGTGCCTCCCGTTTAGCTGAAGCAGAGGCCAAAGTAGTGTGTTGGGGACAGTACCTCGCCTCTCAACTACCGGGACCCTCCTTTCCAGCGACACGGGTCCCCACGCACGGCAAACACGTGGGCAGTTTTCTCGCCACTCGAAAACTAGATGCAAGGACTGCTCCAGTCTCTCGTGACGAGCCCCAAGCTCCGTAGAGAGAAACCACGAGGGAGAAGGAAAGGGGAAACGTTTCAGCCAAGAGGAGAGGAGACGGAAAAGAGGATAGATCACTGGGGCTCCAGGATCGTGACACCCGTCTCATCAAGAGATGATCCCCTGAAGTGCTAGGGTACCTCGGGATTGCCACACCCGTACTCACAAAAGTGAGCCCCCTGAGGGCCAAGTCAAGAATGTGCTTGTCAAGAATAAAGAAGTGTTAAATCGGCATGACTTTTCATGTACCAAGCTCTGTCACTCCATATATCATGTCTTCTGGTGTACCAATAACTTCAATACAGTGCAAAGTCCGTAATCTGTACTCTGTCGGGACTTTGGCGATTCCGGATTAGGGTTTTTTCCAGATTATAGATCATCAATTTAAATCTGGTAAGATGACATGCAGAAATTGTACAATTAAAATTATGAAACCGTAATTTATGAAATAAAGAGCAATTATGATCTAAAGGGTATCAAATTTTACAAAAAAAGCTTAATATTTATTTGTTTACTTTATTAAACATTTTTTTAGTGCGTGCATGCGTAATGCGTGTAATGTATGCGCGCGTATTCTTTATGTGCATGCGTAAAGCATACAAAAAAAATGTTGTGGCTTTGAGGTCCAGATTATAGATCATTTATCGCCAAAAATTTTTGGCGAGAAACTCCACGCTGCCATATTACTATCTAAATTTTTTGTCTACATTTTGAACTTTAAGCCTAAAATGTCTCCAAAAATGCGGTTTTCGCACATACAAAAACCACGTTTTGAACATACAATTTAAGCAAAAAAACCGAAACAAAAACAAGAAATTTAGATAGCAAAAACATAAAGTTTCTAACCAAAAATATTTGACAAGAATCAATGTATACAGCGATAAGTTTTAACTTAACATCTACGAATGACATAATCTAGGCAATGAACGAACCTACGAACTATTCACACCTCACTTTAATAAACTAACATAACAACAATAAATTTCACAGAATACCATGTTCACAGCATCCTGTTTAAACTTAAAAAAACATCTTTGTATTGCACAATCTAGGAAACAAACGAATCTACGAACTACACACACCTCGCTTTAATAAATTAACATAACAACAATAAATTTCAAAGAATACCATGTACACAGCGTTCTATTTCAACTTTAAAAAACATTTGTGAATTGCACAATCTAGACACTATGCACTAATCAACAAAATAAATTTCAAACAATTCAAAAAAACAACAATGACGTCAGAAATTCATACTAAAAAAACAACGAACATAACATTCTACAAAATAAGAACAAGAATAAGATAAAATGCACTTACCATGAATTAATGTTTTGTTGAACAGCAGAAATATCAATATCATACGCCTTTAACATGCCGCCACGTGATCACTATCGTATTTATAAGACAGCCAGGCACACTATCCAGAAAATTCATAGTATGGTTCACAAATAAATAAAATCACAAATCCCTACTTCTATCATGCACAGCCACTAAAAATAATCTCCCAGACCCTCTTTCCACACCTCCAAATACCCACTGCCCTTCAACAGGATGGCCACGATGATATTTTCTTTTGCCGAACTTCAATTCAACAACTTCCACCATTTTATCTTTCCCCCCTATTTTTGCGAACCAACGAGCTCCAGCGAAAGATTTTCAACGTCAACAGGGTTGCCATACAACACGCAATCGCACCAATCACCAGCACAGAACAGATATCGCCACATTTGGTGAAATTAGGGCGTATATCAGAGTAGTACCCATTCTGTATAATGAACGTCCGGATTACGGACTTTGTACTGTATTACATATATGCTAATATAAAGCTTGTACTGTTATTGAAAGATAATTTTTAAACAGAAAAGCCATAATTTAAACAATAAAAATATAACTACTGATTTTATATCTTAATAAATGTAAAAATAAGTTATGAAATAATTTACAAAATCAAATTACAGTAATTTTGTGTAATTTTCTATTTTTGTGTGTAATATAATAGATTTCATTCGAATGCCTTAGGCACAGAAAATAAGAGACTCACTATAGGTTACAAACAGCTGATACTCTTGCTAATTTTGGACAACATGTTTTATAGAACATATCAGTTCCCATTTTCCACAGCTGGATATGAAATACCTGAAGAAATTTATTGCATCCCAGTGCGACAAACAGCAATTTCAATTTAATTAGATTCTGCATTTCCCATAAACCCATTAAAAAACTATATACACTTTAATACAGAAATTATACATTACAAATATATTATATATTGCCACGATTCTGAAAATCTTTTATTGCAGTTACAAGATGATCCGTTAAATTAATATAATTCCCCCCCCATTTAGCTTAGGGCTACTATGTAGAACCTTCTTCTCAGTAACTATTGACTTCAAATTTTGGCAGAAATTTGTACATTATTAAATTTAATTAATGCTGCAATGAAACAATGATCATAATATTGAGGTAAAATATATTGGAAGCTTGTTAGATCTGTAACTTATGTTTCACTTCAAAGGACCTTTACTGATTTTCATAATAAAAATAAACAGACCATCTTGCATTTTTGTTTAATTATTACTTATTATCAGACACAAAAATAAAACTATTAGATAATCATCTTATATTCCCCATTTGTCTATTATTCATTTTTTCTAAAAACCATGTAATAAGTCAATTAATAAAAGATGTAGAAACTTTTTTTTTTAAAAAAAGCCTTTTTATTCATCCATATAATTTTTGTTTAAGGCTGCAAATATTAATTGGCAGGAATCTGTAATAGCTTTTGTCAGTCCTGTAACACCGTGTGTCATTTCTTCTAAATTTTCATTCAAGGTATCCATTTGTTTTTCTTTGTTTGTGCTTCCACAACACTTTTTAAAGCAGTCACTGAAGAAAGTTTCAGTTTCTTTCGTAGAGGGTGTAGGTTGTTATTAGTAATGGCTTGTGTCATTCTATATAAAATTTTATGCTCCACCCTCAAAGCATTAGTCAAAACAGTCTGGGGACCAGTTTTTAGTTTCTTCCATGGAAGCTCTTTTACAAATGAATTTTCACTTTTAACTTTAAAAGCCATCTTTTTTGAATTTTTCCTTGAAGTATCTATTAGCCTCAACTTCATGTGTGTATGAAAAGAACCAGTTAAAGCACACAGTGGAGTAAGTTTTAGGTTTTGTTGTAAAGAATTTTTCCAGTTGGTTGGTTACTAATAACTGCATATACTACTTGTTTTGTATTTTTAACCAAGGGCACCAGTGTGTATTAATACCATTTTTCCTTTTGAAATATTTCCTAAAGCATTATATAAGATAGGTTTTAAGTTCTTTTGTAGAGTTTCATTTGTAGCTAAGGTGCCATTAGTAACTTTATGTATTATTGGTGTTAAATTTTTATTAGAGATATGAGTTTGTTCCAGCTTGGCTTGTTCTTCCAAAACATTTACCAAAGCAGGTTCTAAAGTAGGTTCCATGAATTTCTGTATAAGCCCATCTTCAGTCATGTTATCAGTTAAATTCACAACATCAACTGGTTTCGGCTTTATCTGTGCTTCCAAAATATTTGTTGAATCGATCTCTGAGGGAGATTTCCAGTTCATCTGTACAGGTTTTTCCATGGCAGGAATGCCCTTTGAGTACATATGGTTGATTAGTATTCCTGAAAACATAAGCTGTAAAAGAGATTTTTTTTAATGCTATGCTTTCCCCTTACTTTTACTTTAATTTGAAATTTCATATCAAACAGCAAACAGTAAATGTGTGTTATTCAATACATTTTAATAATTACTAGATGGTTTTAATGTACTAATAAAGTATGTTTTATGTTAACTACATATATATTTATAATGTAAATATGCTTCCTAAATTCATTAAACTACTATTTTTTAAAGTTGCAAGCAGATAATATTTTTGTCTTGTGGAATACTGTGATTTCCCTTTCATCTGAAACTGATGCCAAAGAACAGCTGAATTTCATAAACTAAAAATGATTACAGTCAAAAGTCGTTAATCCGGACTCGTCGGGACTTCGGCGATTCCGGATTATAGATCATCAGTTTAAATCTCGTAAGATGGCATGCAGAAATTATAAAATTAAAAATATGAAACCGTAATTTATGAAATAAAGAACAATTATGATCTAAAGGGTATCAAAATTCACAAAAAAAATCTTAATATTTATTTGTTTACTTTATTAAACATTTCTTTCAATGTAAGTTGTTTAAGTTGCTTCATTTTATGTGATAATACTTTCTCTTTAATTCTATAAACAGACATAATTTCTTGTTCAGTTACAAAGTTCCGCTGTTCAAGTCCCGTTAATTGCTGTGGCGAGAATACCGACTAACTTGTCAATCGAAATTTTTTCGTTTTCACTAACCTCTCTGTCACATTCTTCATGTCTTTATCCATTTTTTGAAGCAATTCCACTTTTTGTTTTGTTGGACATCGAAACATACTTTCGTTTTGTAGATCCTTTGGAAGTTCCAGCATCGGAAATTCTATTTGACATAATCGAAAGTTCAAGTTTACTTTTATAAAATTGCTCCTACAGTTTGCAAAAAATAATAAGCGGGATCCAATTCGAAGATTAAAAGGAACAACGCAATCATTAACATTAACTGAAATAGATAATTAGATAATTTTAGCTTACACCATCCGTTATACATTAAACGCGCAGGCGAAAACGTATTCTGCACTTGCGCACACGCATATGCGCAGTAGTCAAGGTCTTACGCGCACGCGTAAAACGCCTGTGCGCATGTGCCAACGCGGCGCATGCACGGAAAGTTTTTAGCTTTGAGGTCCAGATTATAGATCATTCCGGATTATGTGTGTCCGAATTAACGACTTTTGACTGTATTTGAAATAAATAAATATAAGATGAAATAAACGAAAAAACAGGAAAAATTTCCGAGTTTGGTTTTTTAATTTTTTAAAAAACTTACTGGCCTCAAAGTAAAATTTTAAAAGGGGGAAAATGTATAAACTGTTAAAACAAGTAACATAAATTACCAATATTTTGTACAAATAGAAAATATATTTTGGAAGATATGAAAACACATTATTTGTAAACAATACTCAGATTTTGCATTTGAAATCAACACCTAATAAGGATGCCATCAGCTAAAATTAAATTTAATGAGGATAGTTCTCATTCATTTTCACACACTTTTTACATCATGTTATGTTTTATTAAAAATTCAAGAGTCAATATAATTTTAAATTATGCAAAATTCAAGCTTAAATCAGCACTCATTTTAAACAAAAGTTTTTTTGCATTTTGAAAGAATATGAGACAGGTTTTTCTTCTCCAAGAATTAAAATAATTCTACATCCTTTGGCTACAATTCCATAACATACATATATGAAATAAAAATAGTTAAAAAATAGAAATCATAATGAGTTAGGTGAGCAGGTCATGTGGTACAGGCACCAGGACATAGTCTCATCCTGTGTGTAATATTGTGACGATAGTATTACTTATTAAAATAAACTGAAAAAACACGCACATACCTCTAATCACTTTCAAGAATCGTAAAATATTTTTCCCTCCTTGACTTTTTAGGACTATTTTCTAGAAAAGACCACTTGAGATTCCTAGACAATTTTCTAGAAAACCTATGAGCGAATTTTACGTCACTTTACATTCAGATTTGTTTTTATTTTGTACCTAATATCAGAAAACATAATTTGGATGCTATAATGGATAATTACCCATGAATCAATACCTTTTATTTGTTATGTTATTACTGTGTCCTTTAAATTTAATTATTGGCACAATTTTCCTTTTCCTTGATTTTAATATAAAATTAATAAAAAAAGGGGGGAATACATAAGGTATATTACACATAACTGCATATATTACATACCCAAGTAAAACAATAATTATTTGGGCAGCATTTGAAGGCCAATATTTTATCTTTTTAAACAGTACCTAAATTTAACATGCAACTACTTTATGTTTAATTGATTATAGTGACACATTACATGCTTTATAACATGGGTGGCCAAATTTTGTATACAAATTTGGGAACTGCTGGTCTAGAGATTAATTCAGAAAGCCCGAAATGTAAAGAAGATGAAATGCGACTAACAGAAAAATCTTGTCTGCTCTTAATCGAGTATTTGATCCCATAGGATTTACATGTTCTATAACATTACATCCTAAACTTCTGTTGCAGTCTACCTAGAAGCCAAAAGAAACATGGCATGCTGAAGTAAATAATAATGTAAAGCACAGTTAGCCAACTTTTGTATATATATTGATAGCCTTTGTTTTCTTTAACATGTGTCATGATCTACCCACTAAAAGTTTGACATCTAACATACTCTAACTTTTGTCTTGTGCACTAATAAGTAACAACGTGGTAAGGGACATTAAGTAAGCATATTTTATTAAGAGTATTTATTAATTGAAAAGTAGATACAGAAAATTATATAAAATTCTATTTTATCATCTCATCATTAATGGGAAGTCTGCATCCACGTGTCTTCAATCAAGCAGTAATAATTTGGCTTGGATCAAGATAAAAGATGATAATAAATCTTTAGCATAGTTACTCAGTAGCTTTGATCAACTTTAAATATGAAAGAGCCGGTTCTCATAAGTATGTATATCCAAACCAAGAGTCGATATATTTACTACATTTGGTGATATTGGAATACATTTCTCAACTTACATATTTTTAAAAATCTTCATCAAGATTCCTGTCTTGTAAGGTTAGACTGGTTGCCGAGTTATAATTTAATTTTTAATGCATGTTCCCCCCCACACAATATTAAACATGTCCAAAATTTATGCAGCAATGTGTTTCACATTTAAAGGAAAAAGATACTGCATAATAACTTTTTCGGAATTATGAAATCTGACATCAAATCTTCAATCACCTTTTTAATTCCTGAAAAGTAGTTTTCAATTTTATAATTACAATTTTGATGTTTCTATAGGTCATTAGACATACCTGGAAAGTGATTCAAATTATTTGCTGAAGATCTTTATTAGGATAATATATTTTGTTTGTTGTTGTTGCTTATGCTCACTTGTCTGATGTAGTCAGCTCAAGCCCATGAAATGCCTCATGGCAAGGAGTGCTAGATTATGCCTGCAGTTGGCAAAAGATTTGAGCACTATTCAGGTGGCAGTGTGATTTAGCTCAATTCCACCCCCAATTTTGATGGAGAGCACCCCGGGGAGACAGTTAATTTTGTTTTGTATGCATTAATGCTGCTTAACTTTTCAATTAATTATCTTGTTTGTTCCATGTAATTCTAATTTAAATTACTTAATTTTAATGTAAAATCTGTAAGAAGTTTCATCGTTTACCCCCTTCCCCCTGAGTGGCTCTTATAAGGTCCTGATATTTTGCCATTTGTTATATACTACCTTATTATTTAAAATATTTTGATTTCTTATTTACTTTAAAATATTTAAATATTATCTTCCTGAAAATGTAGACTCAAAGAATGAATCATTGTTAACTTACATAATAAATGCTGTTTAAAATCAGTTCTTTATAAGCAGATCCAAGAAGTCATGCAACTTAGATGATTAAAATTTGCACATTCTTAATCTTGCTCTTCGACAATTTTATCTCAATAAATCATAAAATAATTGTGGTAATTTATTTCTACTTAGCCAACTTACATCAGTATGTAATCATAATTCTGGTTGTCTTCATCAAACTGCAGTTGGGAGAGATGCTATTTGAGGAAACTGTCTCCAATGGGATTACTAATTTTGAATGCTATATCCATTATTTCTTTTGTTTTTCAGCATTTGCTGGCTAACACCAGTTGACGAATTATGAAGTGGTAGAGAATTTGTCTTCATTTTGGCACAAAGCTGTAAATAATACATTTATGCCACCTATTGTTCCTCTTGCTTCATATATCACTGAAATTAAAAAATGGTAATTTCAAATTAGTGAAAATTTTTTTTAAAGAGTTGAGTATATCTGCACCTCTATTCCTTTCTTTCAAAAAAAAAAAAATATTCAACAATTCTTCAGATGTATAATCGCTAAAAACCATATGAACTAAAAATAAGCAATTGTGCTGTGTAACTATATTTGTTGATTTATCAAACTGAAGGGGAAAAACAAGCATCTATAAATGTCATTATATAATTATTCCCTTATATTTTCATTTATTTCCTCAATCTACCACAATACTTCAAGACATTTGTAGATATTTAATTGAAGTAGTAATTTAAATCTCGTTCTCAAAATCATTAAAAAATGAATCTGATATTTCCAAGATGATTTCATTTTATAAATTCTCCACTAGAAAATGGTTCAGATCCCCCCCTAAAATATGGCTGGCTTTAAATGATGCAGTGATACAACAGTCATTGTACATGCTTCAAACGTGGGTCTTTTTAAAAACAATTTTTTTGAGCCCTTAATTCAGCTTTCAGATCCCTAATTTTATATTTTCTCAAGTTATTATTTTGCAGATAATCTGTTTAATATTTGTAACGTAAAGCTAAAAAATGCCTTTTCAGATTACCCGTATCATTCATCAATGTAAAAAAAGTAATCAAGTTTCCAATTTTCATGAAAATAAGTACCCTATTTTTTCATTTACTACATATTTTAATTGGTACTAAAAGGTAAAAGAAGTATACAAGTAGAAAATTTTAATTTAAAACATAGAAAAAAGTTACTTTCAGTTTTGCATAGCATTAGCGTAATGAAAATATGACACTTTTTCTAGAAAGGCAAATAGAGTGTTACCACTATGGTGTACTATGTACTGAACATATCCTATACTACGTACTAAACATATCCTTTAGTACTACGTACTACACAGGCATGTTACCTTATGTACTGCTACACCAAGCATTAAATGAGGGTACACCTAAAAGCCCACTATATTTTGTGCTGGACAGCATGATTATAGAAGGATGCCGCTTTCTCTCTCGACGGCTGGAATGGAAGGCGAATTGAGCATCTACTGATACTAAAAGAGCCTTGACCAGTTGTTTCTGAGTGATAACTAAGTTGTAATTGCATGCAAAAATGATCTCCTGTTTGCTTTGTGATCAATTTGCTGGCCATTTCCATTTTAAAATACATTTCATAATCTACATTAAATGATAAATTTTTACTTTATAAAAAGGGTACTTTCTGATTATAAGCACCCCTAAATGAAAAGCTGCAAACTTGCAAATAATACTTCAAACTTACAAATAATTTGCTTCATGCTAATGCATGAAAGACACAGTCATTTTCAAAATGGCAGTATACTAAGAATTTCATGCAAGAGCAATGAATTAGTGAAAATAAAAAAAGCAACATTGGTAACAAAACACCTTTTGTGAGAAATTCTTCTTTTTTGCACTGTTGTTCTCCCCATTTGCACAGTGATATGTTTTCACATAAAAAAATCACATATCCAATATCTATACAACTTAGCACTGCACACCAGCCCATTGTGCTAACCTAGATTGCCAGATAAACACCTTTTTGTGACACTGAGGGCTGCTACAGAACTATTTTGAAGTATACTATACTGCTTTGCCTCATTTTTGCAAATTTTGGGAGGAGGCTGAGATAATCAGAAAGTGCCAAAATAATAATAATAATAATTGAATAGAGTTGAAAACATATTCTTACATTTTCTGCATTTGCCTCCTTAACTGCTGCTGTTTTAGCATTATTTGTCCTGTTAATTAAATTAATAAGTGTCATTTCACAGTTGCCAAGTTCCTTATAGCATGCTGGTCTTCCTCTAGTCAGTTTTTCTCCTGCTTCAATCTCGGCTGCTTTTTTCTTGATAGCCCCTTTCCAATCTATAAAAGTCTAATTTGAAGAAACAAGAACATAATAAATTAAACAGCACATGTGATTCTTAACTTTAGGTTTTCAAAAATAATACATTTTACTCTGGCTTACAATTAAATACTTTAATGCAAACTTACAGAGTTATAAAAATGGAAGTAGTTTTAATTCTTCCTACCTGTTGAATGATGCAAAATAATTATTGTCAATAAGGCTATTTGCAATTCTTTTCAGATAAGAAATTTCACTTAAATTCTATCATTATTTACTTTCAAACTGAGTATCCATCCCAAAGAAAGCATAATACTTTCTGATTATCCACACCTGTCTCCTTCTAAAAAGTCACGAACTCATCAATGACTAATTTTTTTGCCAAGCCAATACACAAAAGTTAAAAGCCAATAAAAATGGGCAACAATTTTATAAAAGAACAATCAAATTACAAAAGTAAGAAACATCCATAATGAAACACTTGTAGAGACATTATTTCTTTCTGAAGTAGAAGACATGAAAAATGTGCAATGCCCTTGTGGGGTTCTGGACACTGGATCTACCAATACTACAGGACATGTCTTCCAGTTAAGGCACATAGTAAGGAAGGAGAAGATACCTTACTCTTCCCAACCTACAAAACTAAAAAATCATGAGAATTTTATCAATGTCCTCCCCAAAAATTAATTAATTAATTTAATTAAAAAATAAAAATACATGATAAAAATATGTAGGAAAAAATTTTAATAAAAAATTAACTTTAAACAGTAACTAATTAATATTAGAAAAACATTAGTTTAACCCAATTGAGCACATATTAGATGCCTTAGGCCATCAAACTGCAGCTTGCTGAATGCGTAACAGATCTGAAAAAAAAGTATTTCTAGAAGAGTGGCATGTACTTCCACAAGTCTCGATGAACAGCTTGGTAAATTCTACAAAATTACGATACAAGATCTGCACTTAGTCAGAAGTTTCGTAAACTCTACAAAATCAAGATGTCAGATTTGCATTTTTTTTTCTAAGTGTATTTGCCAACCTACAGCACTAAAAAATTAGGGGAATTTTCTCAATGACAAAAAGAAAATTTAAATGATAAAACTATATAGAAAAAAATACATTTTTTAATAACAAATCAGGTTTAAATAGTAACTAATTAATACCTAAAAAAATTTAAAACTTTCATGTTTAGTTACTAATTCTTAAATACAATTTGTACAAAAATATTTACATGTAAAACATCTTTATGATTGTGCATCAGGTCTTTATGATTTGCGATTCGTAACTTTTAATAAAAAATAATACTTAGGGAAATAATACCATAGGAATTGCATTGCACATCCAGTTTTCAGACAAATGCTATGACTAATGGCAGATTTTGCTTTAAGAAAGAAACTACATAATCTTGTTCACAGCAACTGCCAGGTAGGCCTTCTTTTGAAAATAAAAATTTAAATAATGTATCAATACTGGATGTAAATTTATTCCTTGTATTAGTAACAACATTGAAAATCCTTTAGGGGGAATTGTCAAGATGGCCAAAATTATGCTAGACTGTTCACTGCACTTTAAAATTCCTTTCCAATTAAATTCCACTGGGTGCCAATCCTTGATGGTTTTAAAACTTGTAAGTTTTCTAAATGTAAAGTGCAAAACTGCGACTGCAGTTTATTGGTTGCAGACATCAATATCATTGTCTTCTGAAACTAAATGAAGTAAAATTGGAAATATATTCCAGAAGAGATAAAGATGCACCTGCCAGAGCAGAAACATCTGCAATTTTGAAACTATTTTTAAAATCACATCATCAGAGATTGGAAATTTATGTAGTACATAATCACTAACTCGGCAGAAGTACCTTCTAAAAATAGCAATAAAACTTATAAATGTCTTTCTCTGAAAGTTGTACTACTACTGTTTCAGCTACTATTACAAAATCTTCTTTCTGATTTTCTATTTTACCATAAATCATGATACACCTATCCTTGATTTACACGGTACTCATTTTACATGATTTCGGTTTAAAAATTAATGGATTTAAAAAACTTGTTAAAAATGTAAATATCAACAATGAGTTCAATTACACTTATTGGTAAAGAGCAACGACAGGTCGACCTCAAAAGCTGCAAATCTTAATTTTCTTTTTTTTTTGAAGATGCCTGCAGCACCAGTCTTCAAGCCTACCATTACTGGTGCATTTGTTGACACCAAGTATTTAAGCAGTTATTCATAGGAATTGCATTTTTTCAGGTTTTAATAATTAGCTATATTAAAGCCTGCTGAATCTCCTTTTAAAGTGGGGGAGAGAAAGCAAACTACATTAAATTTCAAAAGACTCTGGATTAAATAAAGAAACAATAAATGAATATAGTTTTGCATCGGTATTATTATTACTTACATATTATTATTACTTTTGCATAGAGGCAAAATGGAGCTGTTTTAATGCAATCAATAACTGAAGATTTACTTTTAATATCCACTTCTTTCACAATTTACACTGTTTCACACTCCTTGCATTTGAGCATTTCTTAGAGATTGTACTATTGGGGAAATATTTTTCTCAATAAAACCGCAGCATGATCTGATGGATTGCATGACAGGTTGTGCTCCAGTACAAAGGGGTTGAGAACAGATATTCTGTATTTATAACTTCTTGATCATTTGTTTCCATAGAAAAGTTTAATCATTAATTTTTTTTTTCCAATACAACTCACACCTTTTTTTTTTTATTTTTGCACACACTTGTTTAAGAACATCAGCCTTTCCACTGTGTAAAATCGAAATGACAAATAGTACACATCGGAAATATTTTACATTTCCTTGACAAAATACCAAAAGGAAAGTCATCTGTGTATGATTTTTGAAAAGTACATGAATATTTTACCTTTTTTGCAGACATAATCAAGACAAAAGATTGCAACTTCTTAAATATTTCTCAAAACTACGTGAAATTCATAGCACTCAGTGGCAAGATGAACAAAATAACAACCTTGATCTTGCTTTGTGCTCATTAGCTAATTTATGCTAGGTGACTCATACCAGCACATGATCCTGATTTAAGAAATGGAGCACAACGTTTTTGGACATGTGCTCTCACACACAAAGGAAAAGAACAATATAATGTCTCATTGATAAGAGACTTTGGTTTTCTTTTATATGAAACCTAGAGGAAAAAACTAAGCACTTTCAGATGTCATAAGTCACTTTTATGGGTGGTAATAGCAAAGTATTAAGACAAGCTACATAAGAATTGTGAGAAATTTTAAGAATATGAGAAAGTTGGGAAAAATATGTTATAAATCAGGTTGGCAGAAGTGTAGTCAGAAATCAGGAATTTACTGCCAAAATTGGGATAGTTGGCAACTCTGCCTTATAGTCCCCTCTTAAAGGGTGACTGGAAAGAATGGGACCCAATTGCCAAGTCCTGGTAGTGATGAATAAACCACATTTTAGTTTGAGCAACACCTATAGAGATCACTAAGATTATCAATGGATGGGACTTTCAAAATGTGCAATACCCTCGCTTGGATTTGAACACTGGACACCCGAATGCTACATGCACATAATACACTTACAACTATAAAGGCAAGCTGCATGAAGGGTTGGCTTGCTTTATTTGATTATGGCAAAGCACTTGAGGGCTACCTGCCTAAAGGGAGGGATGCCTTCATGGAGGACATTCTATGAGAAACTGGCTAGTATACATGTCACACATGGGGGAAAACATGAAAATGCCCATGCAGCCAGCCCATTCACCAGGATTGGGTCCTGGACTTTATTGCTTAGCTGCTGGTGGGGCCAACTGTAAGAAGGGAGAAAATACTTTGCAATTTTTCGTGCTGTTATTTTTTCCCATGTATATTATTAATCTGTTTTCACTTAGCATAAATTTGGCATTGTGTATGCTGCTGTTCTCTCCATGTACATAGAAGTCTGTTTTTACTTCAAAAACTTCAGAGAATTACACAGTTTTGGCATTATGCAATTTTTCAACTTACGTTTCTACAAAATTCAATCATTTAAAAGTATGTCTTCATGGAACGTGAATTTTTGCATTCTGCACTGTTAATCAAAATACCACATTTCTAAAGAAATGAAGTTTCCCTCCCCCTATCAGCAGACAAACTCCATACTCCCATTAGAATTCATTACAAGGAAAAAAATTTACTCAATGCAAAATCAAACACTAATCAAAGAAATGACAATCCAGTTTAAAAGGTGGAAATCTTTGTGTATTAAAATGGATGTCGATACATTTTTGCAACATCATGGACTGCCACATGAATATTTTGGTCACACAGTGCAATTGCCTCATGAATACTCTCCAGAGGTGCTCTAGATAATCAGAAAGAACTAAAGGCATTCCAAAATTAAGCTTTCAAAATCAGACCAAACACAAGCTACAAAATCACATTCACTGAAATAAAAAAGTTAAGGAAATCAAAATGATTTATTTGAACTGACAGTTAAGTTTAACATATAATTCAATAAATTCCAAAACAAATAAATCACAAGTAATTTTTATCGAAGTATCTCTTATTTTCAGTTGCCTTTCCCATCTTCTTTACACGAAGAAAAGCTATTACTGAAGCTTATGTTAAAGATTTGCTACTTTATCAATTAAATCAGGCTATCTTTGAAATTTTTTTAGTTGATAGCTTTGTTTTAAAGTGAAATTATTACCACAAATGAGTATTTCTATTTTTGAATAATTTTTATAGCAGAAAGTTACAGCCAGTATTTAGCATTTACAAAAAGCATGCAATTTTTTTAACCATAAATCTATGCTTTCTTGTATTACATTTTTATCATTCAAATGGGATATTAACTAGCTGGGACAGACATAAAAAATGGTCAGGAGAAATCTGAAAATAGGTCATAGTCAGAAACTATAATTCATATAATTAAAAGTAATAAAAAATCAATGTATGAGGCTCAGAAATTGCAGGATTGCAGAACAGGATATTAGGAACATTGATTCTGGAATTCAGACTCACAGCTTCTATTTTGAAGTTTATTCACTTAAAGCT